GGGTGAGGACAGCAGAGGAGGGTGAGGAGTTTGTGGGGCAGCAGGCACCGGGGAGCTGATGGAGCAAGGGGAGGAGACATGGCAGCAGAGAAAAGGTAGAGGTTTATAAAATATTTATTAATAACTTGGGTGCCTCAGTGGCACATCCAAACAAGCCACATGAACTCGGTACAGGTGCACAACACAATTCATTCTGTTCACGGGAGGAAACTCTTAGGCTATGTCTACACTGGCGGCTTCTTGCGCAAGATCATGTCCGCACTGCCATGTGCAAGTTGTGCTTTTGCGCAAGAGCATCCATGGCAGTGTGGACGCTCTGTTGCGCAAGAAAGCTCCAATGACCATTTTAATCATAGGGGTTTCTTGCGCAAGAAATCCCTGCTGAGCATCCACGCTGCCTTCTTGCGCAAGTGCAGATGTTACACCTGTTAGAAAAGAGCGTAACTCTTGTGCAAGATGCTCTCTCTTACCGCACTCTACTGTAAACTTCCTTGCGCAAGAGCAGGCGGGCAGTGTGGCTGCTCTGTGGGTTCTTGCACAAGAACACCTATACTTGCTCAAGAAGCAGTGAGTATAGACATAGCCTCTCTGCCCCCCGAGTTAATAGCCTCTCTGCCCCGTTGGGTTAATGCAATTGCAAGATTGGGGGAGGGGGGCGGGGGGGCAAACTAATGCCTGTTGGTAGGAGGATGGTGGGAAAAGTCTTTCGAGAAGGGTGACATGACACCTTTTACTTCTGGTCATGTGTCCATCTTGCCCTGAGCGTGTTCTTTCCTGAAGCCTGGTTAATGGGGGTCCGGGTGTCAGCCGGTGATCAGGGCAGTGTGTGTATGTATGTTACACCCAAGTCTTCAACTGCTGGGACACAAGATCCCATCACAGCAGGCAGCCTGGGGAGGCTGATGGGTGCCCCGAGGAGTTTAATGTCCCTGTCTTCAACCACTAGGATCGGGATCCCTTCGCAGCAGGCAGCCAACACAGGCTGACAGACACCCCAGAGTTTATAGGAAGAGCTTATTACATCTCAGATTTTGACTGCTAGGATACAGGATACCTTTGCAGCGGGCAGCCTATGGAAAGCTGAGAGATGCCCCATGGATCTGTCCTCTGGAAGCAGCACAATCCAAACACCCCAGTTCTCCCTATATCTGTCCCTTATGACCAGCTGGAGTTCTTTTAAATTGTGCTTGGTTCTGTTACAGCAACTGAAGGAGTCAGGTTAAAGCTTAAACAATTACAGGTTTATTATAAATCATATGGTTACAATGGCTATTGCTCTATTTCTTAACTGCTAGTAAATACAGATCTTAAATGGTTACAAAGGAAAATAGAAAATAATGGTACCAAGTGACAGCTTAATCTTTAAAGAGCTCTATTCTATGCATGCACTGAAAACAAAAGGACACATACGGGTACAATTTTTACCCCCTTCTGCGTCGCTCCGTCCCAGCATGCCAGGCCAGGATCAGTCCCTCAATTCCTCAGACAAAATATGAGGTGGGCGTCCCCGTGGACCTCGGGGCAATGCACCTAACCCAACCAGCAGGAAAAGGGTGGATTGGCACTCAAAGTGAGTGTGCTGCTAGACCCAGGGGGAGAGGGGTACAGGAGTATTATGATGCTGTGGCCAGATGGGGACTGGGCCCAATTGAGGGCTTGTTGGCCAGGTTTCATTTTTAGATCAAGTAAAATATTTTATCCAACGCAAAAGATTTCAATGTTGTCTTGATTTATGGCAGAAGTGGGGAACCTTTTTGAGTCAGAGGCCACTGACCCACAGAAAAATCAGTTGGGGCCCACACAAGTGGGAAGCAAAAAAAAAAACCCCTCCAGAAACCCCCAACCCTCACTGATGTGCTCTCCCCCCTCCCCCCAACTGAAACCCCTCACTCCTCTGGCACTGCAGACCCATAGTGGTGGGGAGAGGAGCAGAGAGGACTGAGGTTCAAGGCCTCAGGTCAGATTTAGTCTTCTGGAGTTCAACAGTGGATTTTGTGGGCCATCCTAAGCTCTGGGCTGGGGCTAAAAATGAGGGGTTAAGTGTGTGGGACAGGGATGCCAGAGAATAGGATAGGGATGGGAGTGCAGGATCTAGATGGGAGGAGGTGGAATGTAGGATAGGGGCAAGGCCTGGTGGGGAGGCAGGAACAGGTTGGGGGAAGGCTGCCTGGCCAGGGAGCAGGCAGGGACTGGATGACTGGCCAGGAGCTGACTGGGTAGGGTGAGAATACTGGCTAGAGGGGATGTGTGTGGATTTTGGCCAGAGGGTGTTGGGGCAGGAGGTATTTTGGCCAGCAGGCTGGGAGACTGGAATGGACAGAGGGCAGGGGGTATGTGGTCGGGGAGATGGGGTGATTGAAGATGTTGCGGTCTGGGAATTAAAGGGGGGGGCCCGTCTTGTTTTGTGCCACATGGCAGGCACCATGTAAGATGCCTCCTGCTACTCCCATACCACAGAAGCCTCCTGGAAAGATCTGCAGGGAAAGCCTCTGTGGGATGAAAAAGGCGGGTGTGCATGGAGCCATCTTGGCTGATTTGCATACTTCCTTGATCCTTCTTCCCAGTCCTACATAATCTGCTGTGACCTGCTCATGGTCATTTTTGGCCATATTGTTGGTTCCTGCGTGGAGGAGCAGGAAGGGGAAGCGATCCAAAGGTTTAATCACTTTTGGAAGACTCTGTCACATCCTGAATGCACAC